GGTCCTTCATCACTCAGGCTTTACAGAGTGGTTTACCACCCAGCTGGAACCACCCCAGGTACCCTTCCCCTAGCTCAGGAGCAGGCATTAAATTGTCACTTATGAAGGTCAAATATGTCAAACATTTGCCTATCCTTCTAGACTTTATGTCCAGGTAGGGGAGTTATATTGTAAAAGAAATACTGACCAGATGAACTACATCCAGAAGACCACACCCAAGGTGGAACAGAAGGGAAACCACATCTTACAAGCCTAATCAATAGGGATTTTTAATTGAAGAGGAGGAAAAAGGAAAAACAAAACCGAGGAAGGATATAAAGCTACTTGAAGATAGTAAAATCACACCCAAAAAATGAGGGTAGAATTATTCCATGATGCTTATAGGAAAGTAACCTGGGGGTCGGTAGGAAGCATCATTTTCTAACTATCAGAGCTAGAAGAGGTATTTTGTCACTCTCCTGGCCTACTTTCCAAGTCTTAACACGACTCCCCAAATTTATATCCTATATTCCAACCATGCTTTTCTCCAAAGGAATTCTTGTTCCTATAACTCTGATTTTGCATTTGCTGTTCTCTTTGCCTAGGATGCCTTTTTACACTTCTTCAGTTGGCTTGTACTCTTTCTTTAAGATTCGCTGCTCAACTGTTACTGCCTCTAAGAAGCCTCTCTGACTCACCCATGTATGTATCTTCTCAACAGCCTATGCTTACAGCCATCACAGAACTTTCTCACTATATTACAATCAACTGCTCTCTTTATCTCCAGTGCCAAGCATAGGCAGCCAGTTTTCTGACTGGTGAAGTGCCTGAAGAGAACAGCTTTTTGTATCAGAACAGTGGCTGGAACAGGTGACTTCAATGGCTTTAAAAACCATGACTTTATTTCAATATTATCTTTGTAATGAGTAACTATATTTTTAAACTTCTATTCATAATACACACAAATGCGTCTATCTTGGGCTTTTCTATTGAGAGTACACAAATATAACAGTCACTAGTGAACACATAGAGCACACATAGCTACCAGAAAGGAAGAATTTGCAGCTGTCACTGTGCCATAGGGCTTGATGAATGCAGGTTTTAGTTTGGCCATCTGCTCCAGGGAGGAAGGACGAATGCCATTATCTTGGGTAACTGTATCTTTTCCTATAAAGACATGACTTTTTTAACTCTAAGGAACCACAAGCATTATATATATTCTCTAGAGAAATATGCTTGAAAAATTAGATGAACAAATAAAATATAAATCTTACCTAGTCACTAAAAAGAAAGCCGTTTACAGTTGTCAAGATATCAAATTTTGACTAAACTCTTAGAGGACATTGGGAAATAATCTAAATGATTTAATGAAAAAAAAAAGGACATCCTATTTTCTTAAGCTACTCATTCACATTTGGCTATCCTATCTAGAAGACGTATGAATGAAAATTGGCATGTATATAAAGAACTAAAATATATCAGGGATATCTAAAAGGAGACTTTGAAAAAGTTTTCTTTTAAAATGTTTACCTGTTGTTACAACATAAATTGAAACTTAAGTCCATGTTTAAGAATAAAGGCTCAACAACAATCACATGAAAAGATGCTCAACATCACTAATTGTTAGAGAAATGCAAATCAAAACTACAATGAAATATCACCTCACACCAGTCAGAGCGACCATCATTAAAAAGGCTACAAACGATAAATGCTGGAGACAGCGTGGAAAAAAACGAACCCTCTCTACATTATTGGTGGGAATGCGGTTTTGTGTAGCCACTATTGAGGACAGTACGGAGGTTCCTTAAAAAACTAAAAATAGACTTACCATATGATCCAGCAATCCCACTCCAGGGCATATACCCAGAGAAAAATATACTTCAAAAAGACACCTGCACCTCAATGTTCATAGCAGCACTATTTACAATAGCCAAGACATGGAAACAAACCAAATGTCCATCAACAGATGACTAGATAAAGATGTAGTACATATATAAAATGGAATACTACTCAGCCATAAAAAGAATAAAAGAATGCCATTTGCAGCAACATGGATGGAGACAGTTATTCTAAGTGAAGTGGGCCAGAAAGAGAAAGAAAAATGCCATATGATATCATTTACATGTGGAATCTAAAAAAAAAAAAAGGACACAAATGAACTAATTATTATTTATAACTTAGATGATTGATTTCTTGAATATGTTTAGCACATATGACTGTCCTTTATGATTGGATTACTACATTCTGTTGATTCTTATTTTGTGGTTGGCTTCATATTCCTCTGATAACTATGTAAGTTTAAAAAGCTAAAGCTCTAATCTGTTCTTAGAAACAATGATCAGTACATACATGTAAACTAAAAAACATGTGTGCAGTATAATGTATATATGTATTTACATACAATATAATATATATATGCAAACTGTAATAACTCTACCTAATAAAACTGAAAAAGAAAAAAAGTAAATGCTGAGTTCTCATCACAAGGAAAAACTTTTTATTTCTTTCATTTTGTATCTATGTGAGATGATGGATGTTCACTGAACTTATTCCGATATTTATTTCATGTTGTATGTAAGTCAAATCATTGTTTTAAACCTGAAACTTATACAGTACTGTGTGTCAATTATATCTCAATAAAATTGGAAGAAAAAAAGAGTAGAGTATGGAAATAGATAAATAAGGTCCTACTATATAGCACAGGAAACTATATTCAATAACTTGTAATAACCTATAATGAAAAACAATTTTATATATATGTTTGTTTAACTGAATCACTATGCTCTACATCAGAAACTAACACAACATTGTAAACCAACTATGCTTCAATTAAAAAAAAAAGAATAAATGAGACCAAAAAAAAAAAAAAGAATAAAGGCTGAGTATTCTGAAAACAGAACTAACATATCTACCAAGAAGTCATTTGGGGCTTTTTTAGAGTTTTAGGAGTAATTTGGATCTTCCTAACAAGTATCATGAAGCATTCTCCTTTACAAAGTGGAGCAAACTGTTTTACCTGGTACTTTGAACGGCACAATATCAGAAAGGAGTCCTTCCTCTTGTGCCTTCTTGGCCAGGCGGTGTGAGCGCAGCGCGTATTCATCCTGTTCCAGTCGAGAAACAGCAAAGGCAGCAGCCAGTCGGTCTGCAGAGTGGCCCATGGTCTCACTGGTGGAAAACTCAGCCACTGCAGGGAGCTGAGAAAGGAGACACACAGGACCAGGTACACTGGTAACAGGTGCTATACCACACCTAGGGTTACTTGGGAACACTAAAATCTACTAATTAAGAGCAAGACAAAGGAAGCTCTTTGAGAGCACAGCATCTCTAAAAAGGGCTTATGTCTTTTTTTTCATCTTTACCAAATAATTAACCTTCCCTTGTAACTAACAGAATCTGCAACTATAAGAGTATAACTGAACCCGTGCTGTCTTACCCAACTCTAAATTTTTGCAGACAGATCCTGTGGGATCAAGTCTTTATGTCAGAGCTCCCAAGTCTTACCTCAGGTGACAAGAAATTCAATCTGAATTTAGAGATTAAAGATAGCCGCTGTCCAAGGGTCTTGGCCTTATTAAGATCAAGCATCATTTTCCTCATTTTCCTTGAATGACGAATAGGGACATCGGACATTAACTCTATACCACCTGCCACGACCACATCACACTGGCCAGAAGCAATCAAGCCGACACCTACAGGGCACAGTTCATACAGATATGAGCATCTTTGAAAGAAATTAGCAGGACGTTGATAATTTAAGCTTCTTGATTAAAAAATTGTACAACAGTTATCAGCATTATACAACAATTGTAATTAAGAGTTTTTATCTTTCCAGAGGGATTAAGATAATATTTTAAAATGATTAGAAATACATTCACTGCACTAGAGAAAAACAAGTTTCATTTAGGTCACATGGTCATCAACTTTCAGAAGTATCCGTTGGACCAATTCTCAAACAAATCACACTCTAAACCAGAACTTTTGGCATATTTTATATGTTCCCAGCTTAAGTTTGGTAAAGACTTTTTTCCTATAAAGAGAATTTCAATTTCCACTACAAGGTAGAGAAATTCTGGCTTTCAGATGTAAGGCAGCCCCCTAGCCCGCCCCCTTTATGGCTCCTGGCAAGTATTTTGTTGCTCTAACAGGAAGTGGTCACAGGCTGCGTGGAGTGGAGAATGCCCCTTATCACTGCCTCTGGCTTCATTCCCTGCCACCCGGGAGGTGGACTTGTCAACCTGGTCTTGATGTTACTAAGACAGCACGTGATTACTGTGTTTCAGGTTTCCCGTCTTTTCACAATTAAGGCTGATGCTACAAAATGTCCCACAGTTTTGCTAAGTTAGGAGAATATGTAACTAATTATAAAAATGTCAAGATGTAGGGAGAAAGTAGAGGAGAGCTGTACCATCAAAAGCAGTGATTTGTCACCATGGTGATGGTGGAGGGAAGAAGGCCACAACCTTTATGGGGAAGTACATATCAGAATCACCCAACTTTAAAACCTAGCAGGTTATAAACTCTTCATGCCTCAAATTCAGAAGCACCCTTCTAGAGACATACCCCTTCACTTAATCCCTGATGTAGCCAGCCACACTACTGGTGGAGAAACTACATGAATGGTTGTGTCCCTCATGTATGGAGAGCAAGAAAAGGTAAGAACTACTATCAAAAACAAAAAAATTTAAATGTTACCTTACTTTTAAAGACACATAAATTCAGAGATCATTTCTTTCTAGTAAGAGGGGTTTTTAATGCTCATAGAAAAGACAAAGGAGAACTAACACGTACTTTCTGCTTTCAAAAAAACATACCTGTGGTCATGGCCTGGTTGGAAGAGATGCAAGCCATGGTGACAGTGTGAGCAGGAGTCTTGTCGGAGAAGCCAGCTCCGAGGGCAGCCTTCAGGAGATACGGTGAGTGAAATGACCACTTATAAAGGAAGTGCTACATGTAAATGATGCTTTAAGCACTACTTCACTGTGTGGTAAATCAGGGAAGGATTTGAGTTTAATATTTCACAGAGAAATATTTAAAATAAAATGAAGGCCATCACAGAAATGGTCTAATTTTTCATTTAGCCAGTAATTCATAAACACACTGCCAAATTCCTTGTAGCTGTTTTCTCGGAGAGTTTACAAGCCTAGGTCCTCTTGTATCTCACCTCATGTCTTTCTTAGCAATGCTTTTCTCAGAGCCTTTAAGGATATCAGCATGCAATTTGATTTTAACTTGTTTAAATTTTCAAATAAACCTAAAGTAAACCTATTAAATATGGTTGACAGAACGATGAAATGTATCATGGGGAGGGGTCCTCGTGACCAGTGTTCCTGCAGTTATGAGGCTTAGTAGTAAAGCAAAAGTCATCAAACATGAAAATAGTTTCTAAAAATTGACCTCTCGTCAACAGCTCCCCACCCAGGTCCCTGCCCACTCTGCAATCTCCACATTCACTGGCTGCCTGACAGCATAGACAGCACACTGGAGACCCAACGCAAAGTCGAACTGGAAAACGTGCCAAGTATGCAGGAGTTGACATCGATGAGAGAAATTTTGGAAAACTGCTTGAGCCACAAGTGAGCCTCTGACAAGTAAGAGTTAGACCAGCTAACAACTGGAAAAGAGAAAACTGGTCAGGGTGATGACATAATCTGTGCTTCAAAAGAGAATAATTTGAGGGGCCTTGTGAAGAACTGAGGCTCTCCATTAATCTGGCAAAAATGGTCTCTGTTATGACGGCACAGTAAAAGTCAAAAATGAAACGGGAACATCTATTACTTTATTAGACTATTTATTGAGGAAAATCTGCTGCCAAAAAACCAATGAGTGCCTGATTCCATTTTTGTTTATGTAAAGAATCAATGTATAGGTGCAGCAATAAAATTTATTTCTGTAATATTAAATTTTAAAAACAAAGCTCTCAACACCCCATCTCATCACCACCACATTTACTATGAAATTCTGGTTCCCATTACAGGAATTCATGTTTACTGGCCTTTTTCTGAACTATTTAACTATCCTCAGAATACAAGATCTATTTCCTATAATTTGGTAAGATAACCATGTTTCCAAAGTCAAGGTTAAAAATGGTTCAATGTTTCTTAACTGATTTTTGCCTTTATACTTATACTACCTGTACTATTTACCATATTCACCATTATTTACCATAATCCAAAGAGGCAGTAATGTGTTACAGTGGTGTACGTGCAACATGATCCTTATCCTGGTCTTTCTAAGTAGGCCTGATACTAAGTGCTGAACACTTCATTGTAAATACTCCCTGGCAACTGCATGTCAGCCTCTCAATGTAAACCAGACCAAAAGGAAGAGAGAGGCCAGCCTCTAGGTGACAGGGAAGGAGGGCACTCAGGTTACACTGGCCTAATCCTCATGAGGTCCTTCCTGGCATGTGTCCTTTGGTCCCAGTTGACTCTCAGGACTGAGGGATCTTTAAATAGAAGTAGTTGCTGGTGAACTCAAGGCAAGCTTAGGTCTAGACAGCACAATGAGAGGAAAGGAGGAAGATGCCTCTTAGTTAAAGCTGGAGAACAGGCAGATATGCTGAGGCTTTTCGCAAGAGCCAGGTTCAAGGGAACTCAGCACCAGAAGCCTTTCAGGATTTCATTATCACATTATTAATACAGAAAACAGGCTCTTAAAAAAATTCTCTAGCTGGTAGCTTTTAGGTTACAAAACAACTTTAGAGAGACATTCTTGAAACCTATTCCTGCAACTTAGCCTTTAGTATCAGTACAGGGCAGGGAGAGGGAATCCACTGCATGTCAACCAATAGCTGACATTTGCATATGCATAAAAAATTTCCAGAAAAAAATTTAGAGAAAAAACCCATTATGGCTTTAATGCTGGGATAGAATAGAAATATAAAGAAAACCAAAACAGATTTAATATTTACTTTTTAAGTGCTTTTATGAGTCATTTTGTTTTTTTCAGAATATAAAAGCTGAAAATATACTATGAATAGCTTGATATACTCACAAAATTGTCCTATTTGATACATTTAGAAGTGTGAAGGTCCAAGGAAAAACAAAAAAACAGGAAGGGAAAAAAAAAATCTTTCCCTGCTCTTAATTCTTTCCTGCCTCCCTGACAATATACAGTAGTTGATTTTTGTGGCCTTTGGTAACACCAGACCTCCAGCATTAACATTTACTGGCAAGTAAAAAGGTGGGGTGAAACAAGTCCTTTCAGTCCTGTTCATCTTCCCTTCTCTTGGCTGACAGTGAAGAAAGTTGCTGCCCTTTCAACTATCCTGAAAACAGTAACATGGCTAGCACAAACCAGAAACAGAGAAAATGCTTAGCACACTGAAATGTGCTTTGTTGCCAACTTTATCCAAATAGTCACTTTCAAATTGAAACAAAGCCCAGAAAATGTGTTTGGACTATTCATTATGAAATTCCTGTAGGACATGCCACAGGAGCTCCAAGGCCTGTCATTATCTCGGTTGCTCAGTAAACACTACATGGGGCTTTGCCAACTAGGGTAAAAGTAAACTCCTTAAGTTTTTAATAAAAACTGACCTATGTGTCATCTAGTCAATGAGAACAAATGAACAAGCTAACTCCAATAAAAACTATGTTATGAAATAAGTTCTCTGTAAAATGTTGAAATTTTAAGTTAATTAGAAGCCACACTAACATTACTAAAAGTTACATCAGCCCTACTTTACCATAATCTTTATTTTCCTAAGAGAGAAACAAATTAATATATACCAAAATAAGTCAAATAATTGATTTGATTTATAGTATAGTATAAATATATACTAGTATAGCATGTCATCTGATTTATACTATAGTTCTTTTAAATATGAAATAATTCAAGTAGTAAAATCACATTTAAGTCAAACATAACTATTTTAGTAACTTTTAGAGTAAACTGTATTAATTAAAATTCAGATTGATTCTCCTAGCAATCCCTTTAAACAACATAAAGTTGGTTTTACTCACCTCCCTAGCCACATTGCTGGTTTTCACTTCCTGTATGACTGTGCCAACGATGATATAATCAACAACATCCTTTGGGACACTGGTCTGATGCAACAAACCCCTGTGAGCAGAAGTCCAAAGCAAAGACTCATTCCACACATTCAAGATAGGATCACAGATCATCCCATAAAACACCACAGTTCTTTAAAAAGGCTAACCTTGAATTTAAAACGGTATCTTTTCCTCAATCTGGCAAGCATGTGGCACTTTATCAATGAAATGAAAAACTGATTTAGAAAGTCAATGTCTGATGCTTAACTGGCAATGAGAAGTTAAAATAGGAAGAATCAAAAATAATTTGGAATGCGGGAGGGGCAACATAGGGCTTGAGGGGGAAAAGGGTTATTATGGGATTATATGAAATTATGTGTGTGGAAGCTTTAAAAATGGTAAAGCACTATAGAATTTAAAGAAGCTTTCAATAAATAAAGATTTTTTAATTAAAAATAATTTGAAATATAATCCATAAAAATTTTGAATCACTATGCTGTACACCTGAAACTAATATACTATTGTAAATCAAGTATACCCCAATTAAAAAATAAAAGAAAAAATTTGATACAGGATAAAATAGATATGTAAGCCAAAGTTTTCAGTCAAAAAGAAAAACAAATAGAAAATTAAAGAGATGAAGTAAAATCCCAGGCATGTTAAATTTGAGTTTCACAATCTAAAGAATATATATTTTTCTTGTTCTGCCCACTGTTAGGGACTAGTAGCACATCTTGAACTCAGACTTGGTTTCTAAATGCCATTTACTAGTAAAGGAATTAGCTTTTTAAAAAATGACTGAGGCCAAGTCCAAGCGCCAGAAACACTCAAAGATGAGATCATATAAAAAACAGGAACAAGGGTATACATACACATTTGTCAAAACTCATCAAACAATCTACTTAAAAACCTGTGCATTTAATGTATGCAAATTATACTCAAAAAACAATATTATACTAAAAAACAAAAGGGACATAGGAGCCAACTTGAAGGAGCTCCCTATGGGATAATCTGAGCTTCAAAAAGAACAGTGACCAAGCTTGGCTATAACACAAATTCATATAAAAATCTGTAAGTCTACATCATTTAAAAGTTAAAAAAAAAAGGGAAAGTGGCTCTTTACAGAAAAATAACAACCAATAAATGTAAGAGAAATGAAAGAATTAGCAAAATCACAATTTTGAAATTTCTAATATAATAACTGACCTAGGCAAAACTTATCAATGCTAACACCATTTGGTCAAAGGCTGTTGGAGAACAAGATGCTCACATGATGCTAAGATACCACTTTACAGATAATTTACTAATTGCAAAGGAAAAAACGTACCTTTATAATACAAAGATCTGGTGGTCTGACCCCCATGACTAGTGGTTGGATTTAGCATTACATACCATGTGCCTCTTGACATGATGCAATACCCATGCAGTTTACTCATGAAGCATTCTTACTAAAAATATGTTTAACCTGAATCTAATCAAGCTCAGAGATCTAACTTCCAGTTTACAGGAAATTCACAGAGGAAAGTTAAATATCACTACGAGGAAACATCCAGAATGTGGGACATTCCACAGGACAGCTGGCCTGGATTTTTCAAAAAGTCACTGTCATAGGTGGGTGGAAGGGAGAATGTCCTCAGTTAAAAGGACTAAAGAGACATATCCATTTGTAATATGAAACTTGAGTGGATCCTGGTTTGGGGGGAAAAAACTATTACAAGAAAAGACATTTTTGAAATAAGTAAGGGGGTTTTGACTATGCACTGGATATTAGAAGTTACAGAATCAAAGTTATCTTAGCTATGGTAATGGTATTGTGGATAGCAGAGAACATCTTCACTCTTAAGAGTATTTAGGTATTAGCTGAAGTATTTAGGGCTGAAGATCAAGATGCCTGAAACTTACCATCAAATGCTTCAAACCACATAGATATAGAAAATACAGCAAAATAATAACAATTATTAAACCTAGGTGAGGGGTAATTAGGTGTTCACTGTATTACTCTTTCAATTTTATTGTATATTTGACATTTTTAAAAACAAAAAGTTGAGGAAAAATTTGCAAATCTCCAGCATGGGACCATAATCAGAAATAGCACCATTATTAGAAATAGGAAAATAAGCTGATTTCAGGGAGAAGATAATTTTTATTTTTTACATGCAGAGCTTGAGGAGCCTAAGAAAAGAGGTCAAATTTAGAGATCTGGGAGTCCTCTACATAAAAAATAAAGATTAAGTAGGTGAGGTTTTTAAGGAAAAGCATGCATACAGAGAAATGCAAAGCTTAGGACTGAAACTTGCAAAATATCTTGATAAAAGAGAAAGAGATCCAGTTTCTTAAAAAGTAGAGAAGAATTAGTTAGCAGATGAAAGAAAAATCATAAAGGCATAACATTAAGAAGTCAAAGGAAGACAGTTTCAAGTACAGCTGACAGTGTCAAATGCTACAGAAGACAAAGACACTGAGGCCTGAGACAAAATTGGTGCATCTCATGATCACAGACTCATTATTAACAGAAGCTTGCAAAGTATAGTTACTCTAGGGCAATGGAAATGGAAGCAGTTAATATGGGATTAAGGAGAAAAAATGGATAGGACAAACAGAACAAGATGAGAATTTTCCAAACTAGGAAAGACCTGTGGCCGGTCGAAGGCACAAAGGCAAAGCATCAATGGAAAATGAATAATGCCCTACATGTTGACTCTCATCAAATTATTCTTCCATCTCAATCTCATGTAACTAGATTTAATTTTATATTTTCATTTGGTTTGCACATGAATCTTCAGGCCTCATGCTAGGCTTCTTTCCAGATAAAGACATTGCATCTCCCCCAGCCGTCTCTCCACCCCTACTTCTACCAGAAACACTAAAATCTGAGGACCCTCACGTCCCTTAAATAAAACAGCATAGTACAGCTGGTCCTCTGTATCCACAGGTTCTGCATCTGCATTTGCGTAATTTGTTCGGCTATCCTTGTACAGTAATAAAGTTCCTAAGATGATCATCAAACATATGTATTGTATGATCAATCTAGTCCTACATTGTTTATAATGTGCAGCTAAGCTTCAGTACTCATTAAAGAATACCAAGAGATTATCAAGCCTGCAAAATAAAGGTCGCTGACATTCACCAGCTGCTTGAATTTGTATAGCATGTATAGCTAAAATGAATAAATGAATCTTGTAAAATCTAGTGTTTTTTTTTCTTACCACATAAAAGATAACATATCTTAGATATGGAAATTCTACTAAGCATGCTTCTTCAAGTGTAAAAACTGGAGAAAAGTACTTTTAATGAAATAAGAACTAAAATGAAACTCTATTTACTTACAAAAGTGCTGCTCTAGCCAAATCATGTGGCATCAGGTCTTTATATCTGGGGAAAGAAAATATATAATTTAAATAAAAAGCCTAGAGTTTTAATAAAAAATGTTTTTCATTCTGTTTGAAATACCTAAAGAAATCATTTACTACTGCAAATGCACTTTACTACCTAAGGCAGTTCATCACTCCAAATAAAGAAATAGTGACTTTGCTATCTGTCACATCCTTAAAAATCTGACAAGCTTTGACTCTTACTGAGCTGGCTAAGAATCTAACAAATCTTGCCACTATCTTATTGCTCAGCATGACATATGTTAAATATTCTTTAAAACTAAACCCCATCTTTTAAGTCCACCTTTATTTAAAAAAAATTCATTATTTATTTTGTGATGTCTAAAGGGACACTAGGGATATATATATAAGAACTTCTTAAGAGAATTTTGTTTTGAAGTAACTTGAGGTTTACAAAAGAATTGGAAAGACAGAAATGAGTTCCTGTATACCTTTACCCTGCTTAGTCTAACGCTAATACCTTACATAACCATGATGTACTTGTCAAAACTAAGAAATTAATACTGGCATTATTCCCTAAGCTACTAACTTTATCTGGATCTCATCAGTTTTTGCACTAATCCTTTTTATTGGTCTGTTCCAGGATCCAATTCATGTATGTAGTTGTCATGCCTCATACATCTCCTCTATCTGTGATAGTTTCTTAGTCTTTCCTTGTCATTCTTGACCTTGACACTTGGAAGACTAGGGTTATGGATTGGGGTAGGGCGAGTATTACAGACATAAAGTGCCCTTCCCATTGTTTCTTAAGAGTGTACATGGTAACAACATGACTTATTACTAGTGATGTTAACTTAATCACCTGGTTAAAGTAGTGTCTGCCAATTTTCTCTACTATTTTTCCCTTTCTAAACTCAGTCTGTTAAGTGAGTCACTACTCTGGCCCTTACTCAAGGGGAGAAGAATTACTCTCCACTTCCCAGTGGAAAAAGTAACAAAGAATTTGTGGACACATGCTAAAATCATCAAAGTAATTAACAAATATTTGAGGGGAGAGAGTCTGAGGCTATGGAAATATCTTGTTTCTTAACATTTCTCACCCCCTAACTTTAGCATTCATTTAGCAGTCACCAACTAACTTCATAGCATTCTATAGATCCTGGTTGCAGTCCTTATTCCTGTGAGTTCTAATGGTGATTTATTTATTTTCCTCATTCCTTCTGTATTTATTGATTGAAATTCTTCTGTAAAAAAGATTTGTCTTTTCTCTCTCATTTATTTCTTTATTCAATCATTTATTTATATCACATTGGACTCATAGATATTTAATTTATTCTTTGGGTTATGATGTAACACTATTACATTTATTTTATTGATCAAACCGTCCCAGTTTCAGTTATCTGAAGCTATTTCAGATTGGTCCTGTGTCCTTTTGACATGTCCCTTTTTTTTCTTTTAAGTACTTCTTTACTTGCTGGTACTACAAAATGCTCCAGGTTCATCCTGTATTTTCTCTGGCCCAGCCCTAGTCATTCTTCTAGAAAGCCTGGTTCCCTCTAAGAAAGAATGAGTATTTAGAAAGATCTGGATGTGAACTCTGTTTGTTTGTTTAAATGTAAAAAAATAAATTCCTTTTAAGTCAAAGATTTAACCATTGGGTTAAATAAGAATATTCATTCTTTAAATTTCTGAAAATTAAAACCTAAAAAGCCAAAAATATTTTTACTTTACTCTGACTCACAAAAGAACCATCAACAGTTCTCAAAATCTTTCATAGGTAAAATGAGTTCCCTCAAACTTAGAGCAGAATTATTTGAAGAAAAGTTGTGTGTCAATTTTAAAATGTATAAACCATAAATTATTTACCATTTTACAATCTTTATTCTCATGCTCCGATACCTCTTTCTGACAGGATGACTGACAGACTCCCAAATTCTAGTGCTGGAGTTTATTTCTAGGAGTGCTTCCAAAATACCTTCTACCTCTAAGTTAAGAACCTGGTCTTTCAAATGTCACTCAATTGAAAGCAAAGCTTCTTCAAATTAAATAGAAAAAGTTTTTTTTCCACCTAGAAAATGATCTTCTTTTATAGAAGACTCATTTGTCATCTCGGTCATAACACTAATAACATGACTAAACAGTTTGTCTTCTTTAGAGTTTTCCCTCTATATTAGTTTTAGTCACTTTGTTCTTTAACTGAAGACTGCCTTAACATTTTTATTCTTTCTTCTCTATTAACCATAATGTCTTATATTTTTGAAAGTCCTTCTCTTCCTTATACCACTAAATTGCTCATGAACTTTGGCTTCTTTCTCAATTAGGATCTTAAATTAAACTAAAACACAACAATAAAAAAACAACAAAAGGAATAAATAGGCTCACATCCTCAGTAATCAAACTTCTGAAGAGGCAAAGAAACAATGTACTTATTTCCAGACAAGGAAAGAATATCTCTGTTGGAAACAAGCTATCTGGTCCCACACTAGCTTTTCAAAATAGGGCTGGTTCAATCCAGCATTATACTAGGCTTGCTTATGAGAAAGGATAAAAAACAAATTTTGCCATATTATTTCACCACTGGCTTGACTTTTTCTGTATCAATTTTATGAAAATGTTATTCATATACTAGTCTACTATCAACAGTATTCCTACAGGGTTATAGTCATGAAGATCACTTTTGAAAGTGCCTTAAGACAAGGAATAAATAAACCACATGGGGTGATGGATGTGTTAGTTAATTAACTTGATTGTGGTAAGCATTTCACTGTGTGTGTGTGTGTGTGTGTGTGTGTGTGTGTGTGTGTGTGTGTGTGTAAAACCATCACACTGTATACCTTAAAAAAAATCACTGCACCTAAATATACAGATTTTATTTGTTTATACCTCAGTAAAGCTGGGGGAAAAAAAGAAGAAATGACAAGTAGCGCAGTCATTTCATACTTACGAAGTGCCTGACAGCAAAAATGGAGTGCGAACACCATCCACCACCACAATATTCCTTACGCTGGGTTTGGCCAAGGTTTTCTTTGATTTGGTCTGGACATCTTTAAGATAAAGTTCAAACAATAATTAATTAAAATAAATGAAGTCAGATGACTTTTTACATTTTTAAAGACAGACATTCTAAGAAGAATTTTTATCATTCAATGACAAGTTGCATTTGCCACTTAACAAGCCAATTCAACTAAAAAAAAAAAAAACTAAGAAATTAACTGGCATTTATAAGTTTCCAAATAATAGTTAAGGTAAATACTGAGATTATACCTAATAATGAGGTTATTTATGCTATTAACAAATTGTTTCTTTTTATCAAGTGCTTGACAATCTATCGCATTGAAAGCAACCAATAATTCTGCCCTCAAAATTAGAAGCTGCAATAACTGATACTGTTTACTGTCCACACAGCTTAATATTCTTGTCTTTCTATGTAGAAACAACAACTGTTTGGTTGGTGACTATTGCCACTCTGGAAAAACCTAGAATGCTTCCTGATTCCATCTGACTCAATTTGTCTCATTATTTTCTAACATCAAAAAAGCAATCTTTCTATAATTTTTTAGTTTAAAAAAATGGGCATATATGCTGGTGGTTCAAAAAAAGAGAAAAATGAACAATACTAAAATACGGATAGTAAAACTAAAGTTCCCTCTTTATGCCCTCTCCTGCCATATAACTTCCTTCCCAGAGGTAAATACTGCTAATTTGGTGCATATACTTTCTTTTGATGCATCTACATGCACACACTTGTGTATTATGTTTACTTTTCTAACTAAATGATATAGCTTGAAGACCTCTCTGTGTTTGTGTATCTAGAAATATCTTATTCTTTTCTTATTGTTGTTAGTGTTGAAATTCATCTGTTATCATCACTCTTCATTTCCAGAGATAGAGAAAAATCCTAAAGTATAAGGAGTAAAATTTTAACAATCACCTTACCAGACCCACATATGCCATAGAGAATTATTTATGACAAACATCTACAACCAACTTCAAGGAAACAGTAATCAAAGCTAAGAGTCATGATAAAGTAGGGTACAAAGATTCTCCTGGCAGCTGTAATAAATTGGTGAAGGAGATAAAGGCACAGGGAGATTAGCGAGGAGACTGGCAAAACCAAGCCTGTGATGCTAAAGGCCAAGATAAAGGCAGTATCAATGAAAATGGAAAGGAAGTGACCAATACAAGAGATTTTATAAAGACTATGTATCTTGGTGACCAATCAGATATGGAAAGTAAGGAAAAGAGGATTATGAAGGAAGCTTAGAGACTAAGGAAACCTAGCTACTCTACACTACAGAAGTATTCTGTACTGTAGCAGTATAGTACAGAATTGGTTTTGGAAGAAAAATAATGTCAATTTGAAACGTGCAAACTTTGAGGTGATGGAGAGATACCCAGGTCGATCTGTCTATTTGACAGATAGCTAGAAAATGTGAAATTAAAGCTCTTAAGAGAAATGAGGTGTAGCTGGGAGAACCAGGAGATATACTCAGAATACAGAAGAAAAGCAGAGGCCTATTTTGCAGTGTCTGTTCACCCACAGCCCCCTCTAAAGGGAGCTGCCCTTTAGCCATACCCCTAAGCTCACCTAAGACATCCCACCTAAGACACCATGTCCCTAAGTCCAGAGCCAACGCTGATTAGATTCAGGGTGGGTACCAGACCACCAAAAATCAATCCATAGAGCGGCCAACCAGTAACCCATGTCATCTACCTACAAGTGATGAGCTGTGCCAGTTAGATTCTCTCTCTTAGGAATCTAAGCAGAGCATGGAGAGAAATACCAATTAGTTGAAGCTGAAAGGATGCCATCAGGAAGAATCAGGTTGATGGGAAACTGAAGTCATCTGTAAGTCAGAGTTATGGGGCAGCAAAAACTCTGAGTCAGCAAAGAAGTCAGCAAGAAGAGTGAAGGGGAATATAAAAGGAGAAATAGAAAGAGCAGAAAAGTGACACCCCACGTGGCCATTCATGAGACAAAGTAGCTGCCTCTTGAGCTGCTTGGTTCCTAATGTCTCCCCAGCTGTACTATTTGAGGCCTCTTATCCTTAACTTGAGCGGGTTTCTTACACCAAAAGACTCCTGGCTTTGCTATCTCCCCACATTTAGAGGGCAGAGGGAAGATGTGGGACAGAAGGTAAACGGGAGAGGCAGTAGGACAATCGAGAGCATGAGAGCAAAGGCAAGAGAGTATCAAGGAGCAGGTGATAGTCAAACATTTCAACATTCAAGGAGAATGAGGACTGAAAAAAGGCCACTAAGTTTGAAGATTACTTGTGACAGACCTTGGAGAAAATAAAGTGATGAAAGGAAAAGTCAGATGACATGACATCATGTCATTCCACTTTTTAAGAAATGACTACGCATTCCTTTTGTACACTTACAGATAAAATTCAAATTCCTAACTCTTCTAACAAAGCCCCTGCTTTACCTGGTTCCACTTTAATGATCCCCAAGTATTTCCCACTACCTCTCAACATGGAGCAGGATGAGCAAGCCCCCAGCCTTTCACAGCCTTGCTCATTTCACCCCGTTTCCCTTCATTCACGTACCCTCCCATGTGAGTGGCTCCTTCTGTCTAATTCTTACCTACCCCTCAAGGCCTAGTTCACATTCCATCTCCTAGTAGTCTTCTCTGATAACCTGGGTTACTTGTAGTTCCTGCTTCTGAACTTCTATGGCAACCTCTGGTGCAAAAATTGGCTATTCCAAATAGTTTAGCATATTATAAAGTAATTAAATTAATGCTACAAGCCACATTTAAAATAATATTCATTATGAACAGTCACCCAAAGGACTCTCATTCTGTTTCATATGCACACTGGCTCCTAACCACATCAGAATTTTTTCAAAGGCTCTTTTTTATATATTTCACAGTGCTATGGGCACTCATTAGCAATGTATGATAAGAAGCTGAACTGGGGCTTAAAATATCTGAGTCCTAGCCCCTGATCTGCCAAAAATTTCTCATTTACAAACATGGGAGTTGGACTCGATGGTCTTAAAGGCTCCTCCCAACAACAAAGCTAGGATTCTTAGGCTGATACACATTCTGTATTTCACACATACAACTAAAACCAAAGCAGATAAAAGACATGCCATGTATTATACCAATGCTATACACATATATATGTGTGTGGATATAGATATATAGATATACAGATGGTCCCCAACTTTTCATGGTTCAACATGAATTTTTAACTTTAGGATGGTGCAAAAGCAATACTAATTCAGTAGAAAGCATACCTTGAATTCTGAATTTTTGTTTTTTCCCTAGGCTAGCGATGTGTGATATGACACTCTCTTGTGATGCTGGGCAGCAGCAAGGCACAGCTCCCAGGCAGCCACACCATCACGAGGGTGTGATACACTCACAACCACTCACAACCACAATATACTCACTACCATCCTGTACCTATACAACCATTCTGTTTTTCACTTTCAGTATAATACTCAACAAACTACATAATATTCAATACTTTATTATAAAATAGGCCTTGTGTTGGATGATTTTGCCCAACTGTAGGCTAATGTAACTGTTCTGAGCATGTTTAAGGTAGGCTAGGCTAAGCTATGATGGTCAGTAGACTAGGTGTATAAATGCATTTTCAACTTACAAGATTTTCAACTTATGATGGGTTTATCAGGATGTAACTCTATCATAAGCCAAGGAAGATCTGTATAGCATATCTAGATATAATCAATGAATAAGTCAAAATTTCCATCAAACACTTAAATTTCCAGTCAACCTGATCAATAAAACCTGTATCCCTCTATTCTAATTCCTTCATCCCAACAGAGCTGTCAAGCAGGAAAAGTCACATTAACTTCAAGAGAAATTAGCTATAAAATTATTGCAACATAAAACTTGTTCGATGTGCCTCCTCCCTTCCCACAAATCAGTTGG